TTGTACTTCAGTCTAGATGTTATGGCTCAGGCTCCTGACCTTCTGACCTTGTGAGCTCTGCAACCCGGTTTCACCTCAGCAGCTTTGCTGAAAGCCTCCAGTGCATCTACAAAAAAACCTTGGTCGAACAAACACTGACCCTGGGACAACAAGAGGCAGAGGGATCTATGTTAGGATAGTTCTCTCCACTTAAATCAAAATAGGATTCTTATTTCAACTGTAGTAATTAATGTTTGGTTGCTCGGCTCTGCAGCAGTATGCATCCCCGCCTTTCCATAGAGGCTAAAGGCAAGGAAAACCGCTACAAAAACCCTTCTCATAGAACAGAACAGGCATTAATGACAACAAATATAATCTTGATTATTTCATAAACAGAAGGAAACAGAGAACCTGGATGGTAGGTGGGTGGCAAGGAGGCATACATTGGCAGCAGTAGGTAAATCAGTGCATGCTATATGAGATTTGCGACTTGGGTGTGTAGTTTGGCACTAAGATCAGCTGATCTGCCAGGCCTGTGGCTGAGTTTGACTCAGCCACTAGAACTAAGTATAAGCTCAGTTCTATGTAGAATAAACTTAGATTCCAAGGAGATATATGATATAATGAACGTATATTTGAGAGAAACACTGTCAAACAATATGCAATATTTTTCATGTCAACAACTTTAAATCAAACAGAAAATAACATGTTTTTTTCTTTTCAATTATTTTTTACTTAAGAGGTGCTCACAGCTAGAGTCGTGTCCTGAGATGACCCGAATAAAAATCCTCAAATAGAAAAAAAACTCTCTGAAACTGAGTGTTCAGACCTTCTGTGTATATCCAGCATTGTAGCAGTATATTCATGACAGAAAATAAGAAACGACATGGCAGGTCTTCATCATTGGACCCCGCGAATACTTCTACCTGCAGATAGTAAATGAAGGCCAAACGATCCTCGAAGGCTCCAGGCTCCAAGAGCCAGGCCTGTTTGTAACAGGCTGCTGCTGACTGGAAGTCACACAGCTGTAGGTAGGCCTCTGCCTGGCTCACATATAGCTGAACCTAGAACATGTAATATCTCAGGGTATAGCAATATAGAGAGTATAAGACACAGGCCAGAAAAGAGACGCATACATAATATACAGAAAGCATAGCTAAAGGTTATGTTAAAAAAAGGCCTCATCTGATCTATTTTACATGAAAATCAGCAACATCTTGTGTGACCACTGTGGAAGGTGACCTGTTGTGGCTGCAGAGTGATGGCTTTGGAGAAGCAGATGACAGCCCTTTCATACTGGGATTTCCCCATTGCCTCTTCTCCATTTGTATAACTGCAATAACAAAAACAAAAACAAAATATTACTTAACAATGAAAATACTTAAAATTCAATAAACTGTCTGTATATAAGTGGAAGGTAATCAGACACAATTTGGTTTTAAAGGAAGTGGAAGGGAGCTAAAACAACTTATTCCACACAGAGGATGAACTTAGATGAAGCACAAAGGTCCAATATAACATAAATAATGACTATAATAAGAAGTATAACACCATTTTAAATTTACTGCTGTACGTATTCAAGACACATAGATATCAGTCACTGTTGATTCTCACTGCTCAGCGGCCTTGCTCTGAATGATGAGGCTGCCCTGCAGGTCTGGTCTTTGACAGGGTTTTTCTGTGTGAAGAAATATTTTACTGGAGCCAAACAGCCGTTTTAGGGTGTTTTTTCTTTTGGCTTCAACCAGCTCCTCTTCTGATACAGCAGTAGGGAAAAAACTCTGCTCTGCATCCTGGAGGTGGACAATCAAAAGATTTCAGTTCACTTTTCCTGAGGTGGCACACTGTTTTATCTCGACAACATCACACAACAGTTTATTAGTGAGGCTATTATTAAGGTAGTGGAAAACATTTATTGTGTGCTGTTATGCATTTAAAGTTTTTAAATTACAAGTCTTATTCCAACCTAAAAACACTTCACTTCACGTCACTTTCAGTGTTTACTCAGTAGCAGCGTTTGTGCTAGTTAACTAGCTCAGGCATCATAAATGAAACAAACATATTTTACACACAACCAACACGCTGGGTCTGTCTACATTTTCACTGTTGCTTTTCGGTCACTTTTTACCGTTTGGTCATCTGTCTCCTCAGATGTGTCCATTGCGTCACTGAAATTGCTGTTTCGAGCTGTTTTGCACTTACGCAGTCACTTTTACGACCTTTATTTTTTGCTTTGCTTGTATAAAGTTGTTGCCCAATGTTGAAAATCCGAGGGTCGCCATGGAAACCAACTTCAACACTCCTAGAAGCTCTTATTTTGGAAATAAAATTGTAAGCGAGAGATCGCTTCCTTCCTGTTTTTTCGCCATGTTAAAATGAAAAATAAATAACATTAACGCCTTTTAATAAGCTGTAGCTATAAAGTAAAATTAAAACACATGCAAAAATTAATGAACTGTGTAACTGTGTAACGCTACGTATCTGCTAGCTTAAAGGAATGAGCTTTAACTAATTCTGAAGGGTTAACCAGAATATCTGCCCGTCTTCATAAAACGTTAAAAATTAAAGTTTAATTTTTAGAGTTTGATTTTTAGAGTAAATGTGTCTGTTACTCTGTCTTTGCTTTAATAAAGATGGGAGACTGCAGTCTGTTTTGGGCGATAGACCTCATACTAGGAGTTTTACTGTGAAACTACTTACACGCAGGGAAACAGGAAATAAGAGGAACACAGGACGATCAGCTGACTTCAATGTTGACAAAGCAAGTTAACCGCCGGTGAGAAGCAAATGTTCTCGGTAATGGTCACATTGTTTTTTCCAGCTGAATTGTCCGATATTTTCTTCACGGATATCTCAGATGGTCTAACTTCTTCTTTTTTCTGATTCCGTCCTGGTGGTTTATCGCTTTCTTCGACTGCTTTTTTAGCTTTTGTTCGGGGATTTTTGAATTACTTTCTGACATGTGATCATTGTCAAAGGTGAACAGAGGTAAAAACCAGGAAAGATTGCTACTACTGCTGTCGGTATGGACATCCAAGATGAGAGGAGCAGGCTGCTGGATGCCGAGGGTGGAGATCCAACAGGACTCATGTCCGAGCAAGATGCTTATCTGAGGTCAGTGTAGCTCTACCACAGCAGATCATTTCAGAGAGTTTACGTATCATCTAAATATACAGAGTTATCTAGACCATGCAGATGATGTTTCCGACTTGTAGTTTTTACTCTCCCCTTGCTGTTTTAGGGAAACCAGTTTAATTACGGATATTATTTTTACCTTTATCCTACAGTGAAACATTTCTGTCCTGCACGGAGAAGTTTGATGAGGATGAAAATGATGTAAACCATGTTGCTATCAACAAATATAGGGATTTTAGACTCACATACATCATCAGCAGAGAGAGTGACTTAATATCTTTTGGAAAAACGTCACTACAATGAAGTAAATCGAGTACATCAGCATTCTGAGAACTAGATTCTAGCATGTGATTTGATGCAGAGTTTCCTGCTTAAGAAAGCTTATACTGATCTACACTGCAGTAACAGTTGTAGCAGGGTCCCTTCCTGTCCCAACAGTACTGCCCACCATGGCTCAAGGAAAGGTCCATGAAGACATGGATGAACAAGTTTGGTGTGGAAGAACTTGACTGGCCTGACCTCAACACCGTTGGTTTGAATTATAGTGACGATTGCAAAGCCGGCTTTCGTATCCAGCAGTCCAAGGGTGACTTGAACATATGGTCATGTGGTACACCACATACTGGTGTTGTAGCTGTAAAGTGGGGGGTGGGGGCAAAAAAAGCTTTTATTTTTATATTCTTACGTTTTAATAACATTAATGTAATTACATTTTTATATATTAATGTAAATCTGCAAAATAATGTTACAAACCCTGAAACAATTATCATTTAGTACACCCCATGCCCCCTTTAAACTCACTGGAGCTTACAGACAATCTCAAGTCCTATTAAAGCTGCTTTGTTCTTCC